GATATGTCTGGGCAAAATGCTCATGATCTCCTGACTGGTAACTGAATTTATACCCAAATTTTGCTACAACCATTCTCTTGTGGAAAATCTTGCTGTAACCTTAGCAATGCTGTGAGTACCAACTCGGTGGTAGACAATTGTTCCCAGTTTTGCTGCACGGCAACATTTTGTAACTTCATCTCAGTCCGCACAGATGCTGGATCTGATTTCAAATTTTCCTTTGGCAGTGGTTAAAGTTACGTGAAGGTTGATTCTGGTGCTTTTGTAACTTTGCTAGTTGGACGGTGTGAGCCTACCATGTTCAACTTGCTCAGCTGACTACTATGTAAATTGCCACTTCTGATGTTGTTTTTGACCCACTCGCTTTATTCCCTAGCTGCAGCTTTATTCATCCACCACTTCAGCTTGAGGCTGCCCAAAGTTTCTCTGATACAGCAGGGCAAAAGGTTAAAGAAACAGAAAGCTGATCCAAGACCGTACCATAAATAAACCCCTACGAAAGCCTCATAACATTTTTCAGAGGTGCTGAGTGCCTAGAATTCCAACTGAAGGGACCAGGTGCTCAACATCTCTTGAAAACCAGGATCTACCTTTTAAGTGTAAAGCGTCAGGATGAAAAATATTCCTGAACCTGCCTAAAATTTCATTTTGGATCACCTAAGACCGAGCCAGAATCCTCCTTACATGGATACAATGCCAGCTTGCCAAACCTGGAGAGAGCTGGGTAAGAAACAAACAAACCAACAACCTCATATTCAGCTTTTTGTGAGGCTCATATGCTTAGCTGCTCATGAATTTCCAGATTCGTTCCGTGTTCCTGGTAATATTGGCAAATACCAAATGCCTCTCCAGTTATTATCAGATAGGCTTTTTCTTGTTGTTCAGTAGTCTCCTGTTTTTAAAAAGTTTGTCCCTCAATTCTTGGTAGTCCATCGAATCCGATGATGACAAATCTGTGCAGATCATCAGTTGCTGGTCTTATGGCGTGACCTCTGGTGACTGTACAAGCCAATTCTAGAGGTGCACATTTTGCTGCAGATGGTGCATGGGAAGTTCGCGGTCAGTGGATTGTGCGCTGCTAATGCTCTGTGAAGTCGTTCGCGTGCCTCTTGTAGACGCCGGCAGCGGTCTTCCTCTAAGGCGATGCAGGTATTTCTGACTGTTGCACGCCACTGTGTTCTGTCGCTGGCGGCGTCCTCAAGGTCCCTAGGTTTGATACTGCTGTACTGCAGATTGGCTTTGATGGTGTCCTTGTAACGTTTCCGTGGACGACCTATATGCCGGATGCCCTGGGAGAGCTCACCATACAGAAGCTGGCGGGGGATTCTGTTGGCATCCATACGGCTGACATGACCGGTCCAACGAAGCTGTGACTTCATGATCATGTCCTTCAGTTAGGAAGCAGTAAATCTACATGATTAATCCCACACCGCAAATTGCAGATGCCTGTAGCTCTCCATTCACAAACGGACATAAGAACTGTCCAATCAATGGCAAAAACTTAGGGCTTGTCTACATGCAGATTTACACTGGTTTGATCAAACGGAGGCAATCCAAATGTGTGGACACTCTCTCATTGGCTTATTCTGCTTTAGCTAAACCAGAATAAGTCTACACTTAAATTGAAATAAGTGTGTCCACTTAGGGGTTTTCCACCAGTTTAAATTAATCTGTTGAATTTCACATAGACAAACCAGTGCAACCCTCCACCTAGACAAGCCCTTAGATACAAGTGTATTTGCAGAATCTGGGAATGATGCATGAACCAAAATGCAGGCGAAGCTCATCAGTTCTTGGCTTGAATACTGTTTGACCAACACTAAGGAAGTTGGGCTGCGTGTTCTTTAAGAAATTGTTGCATGTTTCTGTGACACTGTGCACATGCCTTACCGATAGCCTTTGCATACCGAATGGCAATGCGGAGCAGCCACTGACATTCCCATGGAACTTGTAGTGTCGCTATGCACCGGGTGGAGCGAGTTACCGATGTGCAAGACATGCCCATGTGCAGTAGTTAATTGTACTAAACATGCTGTACTGTGTGCCTGTATTTTGGAGGGCAGGATTTATCCCACTCCTGATGCATGCCAGGCTCCCCTGCATGCGGGGAATGAGAACAGAGCTTTTAACTGTGGTTGAGGATCAGTTTTCGAAGTCAAATTCCTATTTATGAATCAAATGTTACATGGCTTTGGATTTCTCTTATTCTGAGTAACTGACCAAGAATGGGAACATGTTTTTGAGTCCTTTTATGTAACCTAATAACATTCTAGTAGTAACAATTTAATATTTATGCTGAACAATATGAAATTACAACCCTGTTTTTTATGAAAACTAAAACATAAACAACACCTACTGAAATCCATGCATTGTTTTCAGGGATTGGGGAGGATTTAAAATAATTGACACTTGCCAAATGCTGGTGACTTTTGTTTACTATTACTATACTGATCAACACACCTATGTTGATCCGTTAATGTACCCAGAGCCAAGTTTTCTCAGGCAAAACTCGCACTGATGTCAATGGGAGTTTTGTGCCAGAGGGAAAGGTCTTGCTTTGGCCCCAGTGATCTGATCCAGCTCCACAGGAAGCAAACCGGGGGGGCTGGGTCAGGCCACGACTGAATGCTTGCATCCGGCTTCGGTTGCTCTCCATGTGGAACGCTGGTTTCTAACTTTCAAAAGGCACCAATATGGTCCATCAACTAGGAATATTAAGCAAGAAGTGTTAAGCCTCCAGGCAGTAACTGCAAATTGTTAATAAACATCACCCAGTGATAAGTAGTGTTGATGCTGTGTTCCGGTGATGCCACTTTCATCGTGCCCCTGAGACGTGAAACTGTCATCCACATTTACAGCATCAAGAGCTCAATGCTCATTAGTCAACTAGATCTGCCGGGTCCCTTGCAGAAAGCCTTTAACTCTCTCTCTGTTCCCTAGCAATGAGAAGCATGTGTTTAGAACTCTCCCAGGATTTGATTTTGTTTTGAAGTCTGTTCCTGTCCCATACCGTATGTAAATCTCTCCTTCTGGGAGAAAGAATGCTTCTCAGAGAATAGTCTACCCATTGATCCAATTTTGGCCACAGTAGAACAGAAATGAAGAAGTGTGTACGCGTGTCATGTCCTGAAACCTAAGCAGAAAAATTGCATGGTTGCTTTGAAAAAGAAAGTTGTCTTGCTCATAAACAGGGAAAAGATGGATGATGAAAAATTTGTGGATTTAGGCTTGAAAGGGTGTGGGGAGAGGAATGCAAATCCATGACAGATACTGAACACAGCCACTGTGCATGGCTGAACTGTCTGTAGATGGGGGAGGAGGCTGAAGAAGAGGAAGGAATGTTTCCATTGTGATCATTTTCTAATCAGACCTAATAATGCATATTTTTACATATAACAAAAAGACATGACATTAGTTTTCAGGACCGATTAGGGTTTAAGAGGCTTGGCTGCGTGGTAGGGGGGAGAGAAGGCATGGAGCACACTGCATCTCTGCAGTGATTCTGGCTGGCACATCCCAAGTTCCACTGAGAGTCCAGGGGAAGTGTGTGTTGGAGATGAAGCTCCGCCTCCCTTTGAAAAGGTGAAGCATATGCTCCTTGGCCCCACTTTCACAGTGACACTTTCCACCCCCTTGGAAATCTAACGTAGCTGGCAGCAGTAGACTCCTGCGGCTCTTATGGCTCTATCCCTACACTCGGGTATCTAAAGAAATACACCCTATGCCTTCTCTCCTCCCAGACCCACACACACTGTCCATTTGACGATAGCAGGTGACTTTCCCCCATACCTCATACCCAGATGACGCAAGGATCGTTCAAAGCTAAATGCAAGGATCATGCCTTGTTTAAAAAAATAAAAATTCCATACTTGATCCTGGCATCAAGCATGCGTGGTCCTTGCGCTCTTCCCAGTACATAACTCCCTGATCTTGTTTGTGCCGCTCGTGAAAAATCTCTTCCAGGAAAAATGAGTAACACTCAGGATCCGAACGGCTGACATGCTATGTAACATATGGCAGTATTTTCTAGTCTGTGCTCTTCCACTGCTTGTTGCTTTCTGCTTTTCAGTTTTCTCTCCCATGAGCCTACGCACGAGGGCGAAAACTGCCCCTGATAAGAGACAGAACAGTCGAATGATCAAAAACGAACAACACCAAAAAGTCAAAAGTGTGAGCTACTATATTTTTTTACAGGAGGTGCCTAGCATAGAGACTTCTGGTACCTCATTTCCATAACAAGGCATGTGATTGGAGCCAGGACTCAAAAAAATATTGTTTTTCTCGGAAGAGTTCTCCTATGATTTTGGTGTCTGAGAAGCTTGTGCAAGACCAATTTAGAGCAAGGGCAAAAGCGAGTTTGATTGAAAACAAGTGACATTTGATGCACAGATGGAGCCAAATATGATGATCTTTAATTGATAGCGCTGGTTGCAGACTCAGTAGGAAGACTGTGCACAGATTTTTAAAATGCCCATGTACTAAAGCAAGCTTTTTTTTTAAAGCCCTGATTGAAACAGAAAAAAATCACACACAGTGCTTCCCCCACAATCTTGTGTCAAAGGTGGGTTTAAAAACAAAAAAATAGAAATTGCACAATACTAGCAAATTTTCCTTTTTAAAATTTGAAAATACTATACAAGGACTTTCTAGCTCCCCTCCAATGCCGTAGACTTGAGGGCACAGTCATAAGGGAAAACGCAGCAAAGTATGTGAAGTAAAACAAACTGTATTTGCTTGTGGCTACACTATGATCGACTTCCTAGGAATGTAGAACCCCTGGAAAGCTGCTCGAAATAGTCTGTTGGCCCCTAGGTTAAAAGCCCACAAAAATAGCTCGTGAGGCTGCGCTTCTTCAGAATCACAAAATATAACTCTGGATGAAAGTGAGTCCTCCTTCAAGTTACCACCGCTGTTTTGAAGCAATAATTCAGGACTCCTGTATGTTTATTGCATTAGGAAACAAAACCATTAAAGCATTAAGACAGCCCTTTTATGTCCCTGCCAAGAGGATGTAGTTGATTCACAAGCCATATTACACTGCTGGTCTCGGGTTCCTTGTCGACTGGTTCTTTATCTGCCCGCCTTTTCTTTATTTCCCTTTTCAAAGTTGATTGAGGAAAAAGTTCACCCGTTGACATGCGCATGCATGGTTAGTTTGGTTCACAGTGTTATGGTGAAAGGCTATTCCATGCCGCTCCGGAGGATCTGGTTGGCTGCAATCAACATGACACTTATAATAAAGGCCATGGCAAATGCACATATAAGGCTCTTCCGTACACAGGTCTGTCTGTTCTGTTTCTGGGAGTGAACTAAAGTGGGAGGAAAAAAGAGAGAAGGTAAAGATGAGACACTCTTACAACTGGAAGTATTTAGTCTTTCACCAGTTTCTTTGCATCATAATAAGCACTTAACATCTCTTGCATCTGTAACCCCTCTGCAAAAAAAATCCATATCAATTGAATTTTACCCCAATAACGTCACCCTTTTCACTGGTCTGACTTTTGAATGGTTAAACCTCTAGCCTATTCCTTTGAGATTCCTCCAGACAGCCCCAGTTGTTTGATTTCTGATTAAGAAAAAGTTGCATTTCCATAAAGATTTCCACCCCCGGCTTTCCATACCAGTAATTTAAATTCTCCACTGTGCACTTCAAAGGGAGACTGTTGAGCCAATTGTTGCCCAGTCCTGGCACATACTAAATTCAAAGGGTAAATTCAAGCCCTCTTATTTTCAATACAGACTGGTCACCACCGCGATCCCAGATCCCAGTTTATTTCTTTTATAGGCCCTAGAACAACATTGGAACCTTCGCTTGGATTCTATATTGATGACAAATATGTATTATGGCTGTCTAGTGCATCTTCCTGCCAATGCAGGATTTGCGCTCTCGCAGTGTTTTGTCCGAAATGGCTTGTAAAACAATTAAGTGATCAATTCTCATTGCATTCACCCGGAATGTTCACTAACTTCACTGGTTGCTCCTAGTTAAAAACCCCTTTGTATCATCCTAACCCATTGCTGTCTCCTCTTGGCATTGAAACACTGTTTATAAGTATTAGAAGGGTTTACATTTACTGCTGTTTAACCAAAGAACTGACCATCTCTTCAGTCCTTTAGATATAGCTCTGTTAATCTTTCCTTATAAATCATTTGTGTTGGTCTTGACTGGAAAGATGTAGCCAAATTTGGAAGGAATTCAGAAATGAGGTGCTCAGAACTGAGCAGAGTATGCCACATGCAGTCTCATAAGACAACTCTCTCCAAATACTGTGCCCAATGGCCATGGTTAAATATGGTGTAATCACTGCCAGGAAGCGCATTTAAAGTTTTCAGTGGACAGGCAAAAGGAGACTCATTGAAAACCATTTTAAAAGGAAGCCTTACAGAACAGAGGGAAAACTTCTCTAAATATCCTGTAGAAAAGCGGGAGTATCGTCTGCTAGTCAAAATACAACATTCGAAGTCAGGAGTTGTGGTTGTTTTGTATTTTAATTTCTACCACTGGCTCACACTGTGACCTTGCACAAGCCAATGCACCCCTCCAGGTCTCCGTCTCCCCACCTTGCTGGGTTATCGTAACGATTCATATTTGGCATGTGCTTAGTGAGCCTCTGCTAAAGGGCTATAGCAACTCGATGTATCATTAAGTCTGCTGTTGCAGGAAGTATGAAATCTATCTTATCTGTATGTGCTAGGCAGCCAATAGCTCTCTTATTTTGGTGTGTGTAGGGGAGAGGGCATAGCTGATTGATTATGGAAAGCACTGACTTATGCTAGTGATTATAAACCTTCTCCATAACAACCATGGTAATCACAAAATTTTGATATGGCTCCCCCATCCCCTAGTTATACCATGGACATGAAGTTGCTGCCTCCGTGGTCAGTCAGACTAGTAATGAGAGAACCTCAAATGACTGAGATAATATTCCAGTTTTGACAAACATCTGAAAGTCTGATGAGCGGAAGAGTCTCTGAACTTCTCAAGTCTGGAAAGCTTGGGCTGGTGGTTTCATGAGAATGGGTTTTCTCTCACGATACCCTGCCCTTCTGGTTCTGATGCCAGCTGGAACCTGAATATCCAAAGGCATGCAGAAAGCGGGGTGGGGAAAGCTGTTCATAACTGTCAGGAATCTCCAGATACTCAATTCTGAGTGTCTTACTGTTTCTTCCTCTTTTGTAAGGGGGTAAGGAAGTCTGATTTGTAACGCCCGCTTCCATATAAATGTTAGTTGCCCTGCAATAACACTTCAGTATGGCCTTACTCCTTCTCAAAATGTGGTATTTTGATTGAAATTGCTGTTTCTTTAGCATCCTTTTTTCCCTAGGTCAGAGAAACCAATAGGGGAGTAAAGTAATTTCCATGCAGAGAAAGTGTAAAAATCCCCATTGTGGCAGTTGTATTACTGTATACTCTAATGGTGCACACACACAAAATAAAAGTTAAAAAAAAAAAAAAATCCTGACTTCCAGCCTGTACTTTTTTCCTATTCTGTCCTCTCACTGTTGCTTTCTTGGGTGGTGCTCTTTGTTTGTTTTTAATTTTACATCTAATACGGATTCATTACTTTATGCCTGAAATACTGACATTTCCAAAATCTAGTTGATATAGGGCCTAAGGTGTTTTTTGTTGTTGTTGTTGTTTTCCCCTGCTTCTGAAAGCTTGCTCCAACGAAAGGACAAAATGCAAAAATTCATTGTAAACTGTAATGGCCTAACACTGTTCCTGCAGTATAGGATCGTACGCTCTTGCCAGTGACAGCAGTCTGAGTTTGGGGAGCCTGAGTCCTGGAGGATTGGTCCCTGTGGCCAGCATTATACTTTTGTGATAATGCTGCTTTCTCATGTGGAAAGGCTACAAGGAAGAGAGAAATCAGAGTGAGCTTTTGTTGTTCGATTGTGACAGTCGAAGTCTATGCAAGTCTCTCTAGTTTTTAATCTTCTGATGCACCAGCCTTCAGAAAGTGTGTTTTTAGGTAGCAAGCTTAAGATGCAATAAGAAGTTAGTCCTATAACTTCCATCGGGAGAAGGCTGCAGTGAAATTAATCTTTAATGATAACAGTTTAGTAAGACATTATAATTGGTAGAACTTGTATGCAAGGTTGACATATAATAAATTACAGTTCATGCTCTGTTGGAATACCAGAGACAGTACTTTAAGAAGGCTTCTCAATACTTCAGTAGAGGAGAGCTTATGGCCCAGTGTCTAAATGAAACCAGAACTGCTGAATAATTTCACTTGACAGTCCCTTCTGCTTGGAGTCCGTATAAGACCATGAGCCACAGGCTGTATACTTGATCAGAGAACAACGCACGCAATGGATGTGGATGGCACTGGAAAGATGTCATTACTTAAAGCAGACGACTGGTGTTTTACTCCCTACTAACACAACGCACTAGGAGGCCTTGGGCATTGAGGAGATGTTCTTCAAAAGTGGCCTCTAGTTTTGAAGCCCATAGGTTCTCCTTTCTGAGGTGTTGAAGCAGAGCAGTTGCAGCGCCTGCTGATTTCAGTTGGAGCAGGAGGTGCTCATCAGTAGGTGGAAAATAAGCAGCTGAGATCCATGGTGTCCCAAGGTTAGAGGCATATTTTTATTTTTATTTTTTTAAATGTGGGCATTAGCTTCTCAGGCTCGGCTTCATCTATAAAAGGGAGCTAATTTGCCTAACAAAAGGGACTGTAAGGGTTAAAGACTTTATTTAATAGCATTTCTACCCTTAAGAACATGCTTTGGTTTTCACATGGCTGAAAGACAAAAGTGAACTAGTGCAAATTATGGGTGTGTCTACTCGGCAAAGAAAAAAAACCTGCGGCTGGCCCATGCCAGCTGACTCTGGCTCGCAGGGCTTGGGTGGCGGGGCTGTTTCCAAGCCCAGAAGTCTACACAGCAATGAAACAGCCCTGCAGCCTGAGTTGGTTGGCACAGGCCAGTTGCAGGTATCTGTCTACACAGCAACTGTGCCCTGTGTGCTTTTGGCTTTAGAGATGGACCTGATTTCTCTTCACCTATGGGGATGTTCGGATCTCAACTTTTTTCTGTGCGTTCATCCGTCTGTCTGTCCATCCGTCCCTTTTATGAAGTTGGATATTTGGTCCCAGGACACGCAGAGCAGCTAGGTGTCTAGTTCCTGCTGACGCTGCTGCTGCTGATGGAGGAGATATTCAAATGGCACAGAAGGGAACTCTCATTCAATCTATACACTTGGTTCAATATTGTTTAGATTAAACATCCAATCGCATTACCTGCGCTGCTTTGGTGAAGTAGTCAGCAGCAACGTGGCACAAAAAGTATCTATCGAGGAGGAAATGTACATACAATTTTTTCGAGTTTTTTTAATTTTAACAGAGGAGAAAGAAATGAGCTTAAACCAAAGTCTTTTATGAAAAAGTGAGAGTGATAAATAAACCACACAACTCCTCTGGCATTTTGATGAATGCATACTGCAAAATTCTTACACTCTCCAGCAACGTTGTATCCTGCATGTGAAACTTTTTGTGAAGTCAGTGGGAGTTCTGTTTTGAGGAATGGCTGCAGAATCAGGCTGAAGGAAATGTTTTAAAGTAATCCGGTGATGTAGCTGTGCAGCTAGTGATAATGGCCTTGCAAATGCTATACTCAGTAATCCACATCTACACTCAGGGTATAATAGTTGCAAAGTGGGGTATGTGAGTCTGATCCTGCATACCGCAGTATACCTCAGGAGCAATCCCATAGAAGTTACATGGAAATAACTAAGATCAGAAGCAGGCCTGGGATAGTGAGTATTCTCTGATATTTTTCCTGTCTGCCTACTTCTCTTGTCTTGGTTCTTATATTGTGCATCACTGTATTTATTAGTCCCTTGTATTCATTTTAATAGAAGATTATGACATACTGAATTTATATTACACAAATGAAAAAGATTATTTCATTCTCACTGATATGATGAGGCAGTATTTGGGTGGTCACAAATAAGAAATCCTGTGCACCCCATCACACTCTATGCTCACTCAGCTGCATTTCTCTTTCGAAAGGGAGACAATCAACAGGACTGTGTGTTCTCTAGAACACTGGCAAATGAAAAAAATGGTTCATCAATAAGTTTGAAACATGCTTAAAATCTGTGGAACATTTTATTTGATATACGAGTAGCAGGAACTTAAAGTCTGTTTTGATTTTGAACTTATTAGGGCACAAACAAATCTTCCATTTCCATCTCTAAAGAATAAATCATTGGTGATTCACTGTGGGCCTAAATTATTCCTGCCAGTCTTATTCTGCACTGCATACTGTACACTGTGTTGATGGGGGAGGAGGAAGAAAAGCAGTT